ACTTGACCTATGCGAAGCCCCGCCCACAGTGGGCGGGGCACTCGCTGAAATTTTGGGGTTCCGCAGAGAAATGTTCATAATTCGCTTCCGGAGCAGCCTGAAGATGGGGAAAAAGTTTATAAGGTTAGCAAGGAGTTGCCAGACTACCTGTGGAGACACCCCGAAATGGGCGGGGCGTACTCAAGGTGGGCGGTGCTTCTCATAAAACTCAGTAACCCGGTTCGCGAGAGTGTTTAGAAGTCGCAAAAAGCTCAGTGCAGAATGTAAATATCTGGCGAGTATTGGGCACGCTCAAAGTGTTGAGACCCGCCCACAGTGGGCGGAGCTTGCCCTAAATCGCAGGGTACTCATTTTAAAAAATTGTAGCTCTGTTCGATCAAGGTCAGCGAGAGCTGGGCCGATTGAGGACTGTGGGCACAAACATTGTGGGCGGGGCCTGCTCCGAGGTGGGCGGAGTCAGACGAAAAATCTGCAAAACGGTTTCAGAGCGGTCCAGACACCGTCAACATGTAAGCAGAGATGTGCAGGACCTCAACTGTTGGATATATGGCAAGAGTTGAGTGTGTCTGTGGTGTGTTGTAACCCGCTCCCAGTGGGCGGAGCGCACGACGTACTTATTCTTACTGAGTTTTAGCGCGTATTCTGCCATACTCTTAACCACCGGTCGTCATAGGTATTAGATTCCAGTCGGCTTGGCGGCTGATGCCAGCGCTCCTCCGTCACTGTGATAGGACCTCAAGTTGGCCGATCGAGCACGGCCTCGCCCACTTATTACCTCCCCAGCCTATTCCGATGCGCTGTAACGCGCTACCACGGCAACTGCGCTTCTATGCTACAGACGTGACCGCGGACAAAGACGTGCATTGATCGAGGCCAACCGCGATCGCTCCTGAGAGAAGTATGGTGGGAATAGCCGGTGCCAGAGTGTGTAATCAGACAGCGCGTACCGTCCTACCCTACCATACTCTCTCAAAGCAGCAGCGGCCGCCGCCGATCGATATCCGTCTATGGCTGCCTACGTGCGTGCATTGGAGCGCTATGCGCTGGCGGTGCACCATCGCGAAGTTTGAACGCTGGCGAAAGGATACGCCTCTCAGGTACTCGCATAAAACATCTCCAAATAATCATTACTCATCGAAATTGACTGACCTGCTCTTTTAATGCCTGCCTTACAGCATATAGCAATTGGTCGGTGTCATTGTAGTTGACGGTATAAACATATGGCGCTCCGATACTTTCCATATAAGGAGACTGGCTAGTAAACTAAACAAAACGCTGCAGCTGTTCAACAATAAAAATTTTAGGCGCGGTTTGGCTTGAAGGGGCATTTTCTTAGTACCATCGATCACTGCCGACGTCTCACGCACTGCGAACTCTTGTAAAGCTATGTAATTGCAATGAGTTCCGCCGGAAGGAACTAGCAAAAGCAACCAGCGAAAGAGCAAAACGCACACTACCCCTTCCCTCTCAAGCCGAGCAGCGCCCATTTTGTCCACAAATACCAGCGTATGGTCAATGGGTTCGACTATGAACTATAATCATAAGACCGTGTTAGCGAATGTGAAGAGTCCACAAATTCCGGAAACCAACGGCGGAGGGAAGTTTTTGCGTCGAGCTACAGAACTTGTGATTCAGGTGGATGCGCGAGTTTGGGGAATCGGCGACAAACAGATGGGGACCGATCGCTCCACGAAGCAAATCCAAATGCTCCCGAATCGCGAACATTTTAAAGCCCTCGAAAAAATGTGCAGATTCTCCACATTCACGAAGTATGAATGCAATCTGATGGCTCACCTCACGTAAAGTGGGCTTGTCTCGGAAGAAAGCAGTATTCAACCGATTCTTTGCAGGCTCAAACCTAGGATTGATGAATACTGCACCATGCGCCACAGCCTCCAGTGGTGCCGGACCTCAAACATAACAATTATTCGCGAACAAAGAGGGCATTTAGGCACAATCAAGAGAGGTGGGTTCAACGAATAACGAACCAAAAACAATAAATTAGGCTAAGAAACTTCTTAGTGATGTATGTACCAACCTTCGAATGGAAACCCAAGGCCTACAAAGATACTGGTTGATTTCAGTAAAGCTGCAATTCCCGTTGTGTTTAGAAAACCATGATTGACTATATCAGAAAACACGGATTCATTGGCATCCTTCAAGTCAGAGACAGTAGCATGCACCTAAACAAGTAAAGCGTACCAGTAGTTACCAATTTCTCGAAAAAGCTTGATTCCAATTAAATTCAACCTCTGTCAAAGATTTCAGCACTTCAATGACAGGTTCTGCTTCTGTCCACATATACTTCTCCTTTCCGTACACCAGAGATATTGGTCGTTCGAGGGTCAGTGGATCATATAGTGGTTCCACATTAGACTGATGAATTGCGAATCCGAGAAAATCGTTGTCTGGCGTATGAGGGAAGAAAGTCCAGTGCTGCAGAAGTTTCAGTCCATGTCCTCCCCAAGGATTAGTGGACGTGCCAGTGCCTCCTGTAAATAGTACAATGGGAAATTCACATTACTTTTGAGTACAAGTCTGAACTGCACCCGTATCAAATACCCAACCTTTTTGAGCAAAATCTGCTTTGTGTTCTTTGAAGTATGACGCATAGTTGAACTCCACATGCGTTCCAAAACTGTCGACCAAACGTATGAGACACCTGCAATTTTCGAATAAACCTCAAAGTGTCACAGAAAAATCAAGCCTCTGCATTATTTTCACAATACTGAAAGGTTCTACTAGTAAGTAGTCATTTAGAAAAGACGATGAGGCGCTGTTTATCGACGGGGGCATTTTGTATTATAATTGCTTCCCTGGTTCCGGTTTACAAATCTCACTCTGGTAAAACTTGTGAACGCTTGTGAAGCTGGAGCAAGATCGTCTAGCCACCATCCTAAAACGTGTCAACTCGAAAAAAGGGTACCTAGATGGGTTGGCAAATCTATGAAAAGCAGAATGCCCCCCCCCCCCGTCGATAAACAGCGCCAGACTATGACTATGAGCTGGTTCATGGTTCGCGCGTGTCGAGCGATTGAGACCGAATGTGCTCCATCGCTAATCGTTGGACCGCTTTAACGGCTTCAATCCAAATACATTCGCAACAGACAATAGTTTTGGACCAAGAAATTACAAAGAAAAATGTAAGGGTTTCTCCTAAGAGATAGTAATGTCTGCAGTCATCATTTCAATATTGTAAATAATGCAGTATAATTGTATTCGAGTATTCTGTTTTAACATCGTATACATTTATTATCGTGCCAGTATACAGCTCCCGCGTTATTTAAACGCCATCGAATATCTCACTCAACTGTATTTCTCAATAATCTGTTTCTCTCGACTCCCCCTATACAAGGCCACGTTATTTTCTGCGGTCAGTCATTGTGCTATTCTCGACGGCACCGTCTGTATTCGTTTTTATCGCGAAGCCGAGTAACGAGTGAGTCTTCACTATCGCAACGCAACCTTCTTCTCGAAAAAAACAGGTTACAACCGCTAGACACGGGTGGGTGGAGCTGGACAAAGCTCGCTTACAAATAATAAATA